GGCGGACACAACATCTTTGTTGGTATGTGGTGCTGAGGATCGAACCCGGGCTGCACGCATTCCAGGCGAGCGCGCTACCGCTTGAGCCACATCTCCAGCCCCAGAACTTGTTTATCTTGAAACTGAAAGTTTGAGCCCTTTGGCTAGTATCTTCCCCTTATTTCAATAGCATTTTTTTAAAAGTATTTTTTTAGTTGTAGGTGGACACAATACCTTTATTTTATTTATTTATATGTGGTGTTGAGCAATGGAATATTACTCAGCAATAAAATAGAATAAAATCAAGGCATTTGCAGGTGAGTGGATGGAGTTGGAGAATATAATGGTAAGTAAAGTTAGCCAATCCCAAAAAACCAAATGCTGAATGTTTTCTCTGAAATAAGGAGGCTGATTCATAGTGGGGTAGGAAGAGAGAGCATGGGAGGAAGATGGACATCATTACCCTAAGTACATGTATGAAGACACAGATGGTGTGAATATACTTTATATACAACCACAGATATGAAAAATTGTGCTCTGTATGTGTAATATGAATTATAATGCATTTTGCTATCATATATAACAAATTAGAATAATTTGCTGAGGAATGAACTCAGTGCCTCACATATGCCAGGCAAGCACTCTACCATTGAGCCATAACCCCACCCCTCACATAGTATTTTTAATAATTACATGAGTTCTAGTCTTGGAGATCTACTGCAGTTTATTTAATGGTAGTAATGATACTTTGTTCTTGACATTTAAAGTTACTTCAAATTTCTAGTTGTTATGAAAATACTGTAAATATTATAGGAAATATCACTGCAGATGAATTTTTGTGCCTGTTATTTATTTCCTTGAGATCTCAAGATATCAAGGGAATCCTAGGAGGGAAACTTGCTGATTCAATATAAAAAATGTGTATATGAAAAGGATGTTCTTAAACCTTGCTGGAGAGTCTACCTTCCAATGTTCTCATCTTACTGCTCCAGAATTTCTGCCTTGGTGATGATATTACTTGGGAGAAGTCACATGTGTATTCAATATGGATCACATTTTTCTGGAATGCCCTTGTACATAGGCTCTTTCAAACTTTTTGAAGTTGTGAAGTCTTTATTTATTTATTTATTTTGAGACCTAGTTTCCTAAACTGATGTGGTCCTGAACTAATGGGATCATATAATCCTCTTGTCTCAGACTCCTAAGTAGCTGGGACTAGAGGTATATGCTGCCACACTTGGTTTAAGTTGTGTAGTGTGTATATGAAGTGTTAAAAATAATGGCCTTCAATCTGTTGGTATAGTTTTAAAAATTTACATACCAAGCAAGGCATGTAGGTGCATGCCTGTAATCCCAGCTATTCAAGAGACTTAGGAAGGAGAATTGTAAGTTGGAGTCCAGCCTGGGCAACTTAGTGAGACCCTGTCTCAAAATAATAAAGAAGACTGGGGATATAACTCAATGGTAGAGTGCTTTTATAGTATGTGTGAGGCCCTGAGTTCAATCCCCAGCACTAAAAAAGCAAATTTATATCTGATAGGCAAGTATCCATGAAATAGTGGTCCATACCACTACCCAGATTGAATTGTTTACTACTATAGTGTCAATTATCTACTTTCCCACCTCTGTATTATATAAAGAAAGTGTACATATGTTCTTTGTTTTGTTTTTTTTTTAATTTTTGAAGAGTATATGATGCTTAATGCTATAACTGTTTCTAAATAAGGTGTTATTTTAGTCAGATATTTCACTGCTATGACCAAAAGACCTGACAAGAATAATTAAAGAAAGAAAAGTTTACTTGAGAGTCATGGTTTCAGAAGTCTCAGTTCATAGATGTCTCCATTCCTTGGGGCTTGAGGTGAGATAGAACATCATGGTGGAATACTATAGCAGAGGAAAGCAGGTCAGGCCATGGCCACCCAGAGCGGGCGGGGTGGGGGGTGCAGAGAGAGAGAGTGGGGGGAATGCTGCATTCAACAAGGTATATATTTTATATACCCCAGTGCCTGCCCCCATGGACGCGCCTCTTCCAGCCATTCCTTACCTGCCTACAGTTACCATCCAGTGACTTAACACATGGATTAGGTTAAGACTGTCATAACCCAATCATTTCAAATTCTAAACTTTCTTGCATTGTCTCACACATGAGCTTTCGGGGAACACTTCACAATTCAACTGTAACAGATGTCAATAATGTATACGTCCTGCCCATGTTGTATGCTAGGCAAAGGCATGATACTGAAAACATAATGCAATATTATATTGTATTACAGTTCCATGATTCCTGTATTATAGGCATTAAAATTTTAATTTGTTTTTCTATACAGGTGATTCTACCTGTGGGCAGAGGGCCATCTATCATAGTTTGGGATTGACTGGAATTCCTATAATCAATGTTAACAATAACTGTTCCACTGGTTCTACTGCTTTGTTTATGGCCCGGCAACTGATTCAGGGAGGTAAGAAAAGGTTATATGTGTAGTGTACTTGAATAAGTGTGGGACTATTTCCTGGTTAATCATTTCTCCATATTATCATTGCTTTATAATGTATTTCTTTAAAAAAGCTTTATTAAGACATAATTCACCCTTTTGACACATACAATTCAGTGTTTTTCATTATATTTATAGAATTGTGCAGTCATCATCACTATCTAATTTTAGAACATTTTTATTACTCAAAAAGAAACCTTGAGAATGGGCATGGTGCTACATACCTATAATCCCAGGTACTTGGGAAGATGAGAGGAGGATCACAAATTGGAGACCAGTCTTGGCAATTTAGTGAGGTCCTTCTCAAAAAATATAAAGGGCTGAGGACAAGTTAGAATGCTTGTCTTGTATGTGCAAGGGCCTAGGTTCAATCCCTAGAACAGAAAAAAAAAAGAAAAAGAAAAAAAAGAAAAGAAAAAGAAACTCTGTTATCTATTAGCAGTTACTCCTCATTTCCCTTTCCCATCAGCCCCTTGCAAACCTTAATCCACTTTAATCTCTGTTGATTTACCTATTCTGAACATTTATATGAACAGAATCATATAATACAAGGCTTTTTGTGGTTTCTTTCACATAGTATAATGTTTTAATTCATGTTATAGCATATGTTAGTATTTTATTCCTTTTTTTAAAAAATATTTTTTTTTAGTTGTAAATGGACACAGCACCTTTATTTCATTTATTTATTTATTTTATGTGGTGCTGAGGATTGAACCCAGTGCCTCACATGTGCTAGGCAAGTGCTCTACCACTGAGCCACAACCCCAGCCCATTTCATTGCTATTTTATGGCCAAATAATATTTCTTTGTGTGATATACCATATTTTATCTTGTTTCTATATTTTTTGCTGTTATGCTTATCATCACTATAAATAATTTTAAAATTTGTACACAACTTCAAAAGGCCCTTTCTCAAAATAAAAAGGGCTTGGGATATAGCTCAGTAGCAGAGCACTTGCTTAGCATGTAAGAGGCATGTGTGAGGCTCTGGGTTCAAGCCCCAATATTGCTAAGAAAGAAAAGAATGAATAAATAAATAAATATAAAGCAAAAGAAAGAAAAATAACAAGGAAGTGTGGAACAAGGGACACTAGTTTTGTCAGACAGTAAGATACAAAACTCCAAGAATTAAAACACTGAATAGTAGAACAGTAATCAACAATTGAATTGGTGGAACAGAATAGAGAGCTTAATAAAAGAACCTAGAATATTTGGAAATATAGAATATGATGTGAATCCACAAGAACTGAGAATATATGGACACACACACACACACACACACATACACACACAAATTATACACAAAGCCAGGTGTGATTATATACACTAGAAATTCCCATTACTCAGAAGGCTTGCCTCGTATTTTCAGGGCTCCTGGCTCAGCCTCCTTGAGTAACTGAGATTATATTATAGATATGATGTCCGGCTTTATCTTCTATTTTTTAAAGAAAATATTTGGCAATTTTGTTATGTTTTGCTTTTCAGTTGAACTTTAACATTGTTTTTAGATGTTTACTCCCTTCAAAAACAATTATGTTGAGATTTTGATTTTGATTCTTTTAAATTTTTAGTTAAAATTTTCATTTAATTGACCACTTCTTTAAAATTCAGGATTAGTTTTTTTTTTTTTGGTATCAGGGATTGAACCCAGTGGGGTTTAACCACTGAGCCAAGTCCCCAGCCCTTTTTATATTTTATTTAGATACAAAGTCTTGCTGAGTTGCTAAGTGCCTTGCTAATCTGCTGAGACTGGCTTTCAACTCCAGATCCTCCTGTGCCTCAGCCTCCCAAGTTGCTGTCATTACCGGCATGTGCCATCATGCTCAGCCAGGATTAGTTTTTTATATTTGTTTTTCATTGAAACATATTTCCACATTAATCAATTTTCTTTCCTTCCTTCCTTCCTTCCTTTCTTCCTTCCTTCCTTCCTTCCTTCCCTCCCTCCCTCCCTCCCTCCCTAGGATAGAACTCTTATCCTTAAGTGCTCTACAACCAATCTACATCCCCAGCTCTTACGTTTACTTTGAGGCAGAGTCAAGGTTGCCCAGGCTCCTTGGAACTTGTGATCCTCCAGTCTTAATCTCCTGAGTAGCTGGGATTACAAGTGTGCACCACCATGCCCACTGATCAAAACCTTTATTGTCATATTAAGACACAAGAGAAGAATTAGCGTTTCTTTTTGAATGTTTTTTCTTCTTATCTAGAAGCATGTAAGAATTTTCTATGTAATTTTTTACTTATTAAAAATTTTGTAGAGGGCTGGGGATGTGGCTCAAGTGGTAGCGTGGTCGCCTGGCATGTGTGCGGCCCGGGTTCGATCCTCAGCACCACATACAAACAAAGATGTTGTGTCTGCTGAAAACTAAAAAATAAATATAAAAAAAAAATTAAAAATTTTGTAGAATTATAATATATTTTTACATTTTATATAATTTATTATGCTTATTTTAATTAAAGTATTTAATGTTATTTTGTTGGGTATCTGGAAATTTACATTTTCAAAATAATTACATTTTTCTTTAAGGTATGGCAGATTGTGCCTTGGCTCTTGGCTTTGAGAAGATGTATAAGAGAGGTCTTGAAACAAAAGTGAGTTTCACTTATTATTTTGGAGTTTTTATGAGAAACTTTGCCCATATATCATAAATAGAGTCTGTTAGTAAGCAATATATAGCATGATTTGTCACAGTTATTTAATAAATGATACAATCTAAAAGCTGTAATTTTACCATATATGTACACATAGACCTTGGTATTTTTGAATAGTAAAGAATCTTAAAGAGTTATTTAGTTCAAGCTCTTTTTACATCAATGATGAAACTAGTGTTCAAAGGGGTCAAATTATTGAATTTCAGGTTAGTTTATCTACTTAATTTGAAAGTCATTCATTCATTCAACAAATGAATTCTATTCAACAAATTGGAAAGAGTTAATAAAGCATGGGACTTCTGGCTGGGTTTAGTGGTATACATGTGTGGTCCCAGTGACTTGGGAGGCTGATTCACAAGTTTGAGGCCAGCCTCAACAATTTAGTGAGACCCTAAGCAAATTAGTAAGATTTTGTCTTAAAATGATGCTTATTTTCACTTTTTTTAAAAAAACATTTATTCTTTAGTTGTAGATAGACACAATACCTTTATTTAATTTTTATGTGATGCTGGGAATCGAACTCAGTGCCTCAAGCATGCTAGGCCAGCACTTTTCCTCTGAGCCATAACACAGCCACTTTGTCTTAAAATGGAAAAAAAAAAAAAGTGCTGGAGCTGTGACCCAGTCTCTAGGTTCAATCCCTACTACTGGGGAAAAAAAGAAAAAGTGTAGTAGGTTATTTGAGCTTTCTCTGCATTTTTTGAGATGACTAGGTGATTTTTGTCTCCAGTTCTAGTCATATGGTGAATTACATTTATTGATTTGCATATGTTAAACTATCCTTACACCTCAGAATAAAACAAACTTGGTCAGTATGTATAATTTTCTTAATATGTTGTTGAATATGATTTGCTAATATTTTATTAGGAAATTTTGCATCTAAGTTCATCAATGATTTTGATCTGTTGCTTTCTTTCCTTGATGTGTCCTTATCTAGTTTTAGTATCAGGGTGACACTGGTTTCATAGAATGAATTTAGGGTTTTTTTTTGTGGGGGGGATGCGAGTGGTACTGGGGATTGAACTCAGGGGCACTCAACCACTGAACCACATCCCAAGCTCTATTTTGTATTTTATTTAGAGATAGGATCTCACTGACTTGCTTAGCACCTTACTGTTACTGAGGCTGGCTTTGAACTCGTGATCCTCCTGCCTCAGCCTCATGAGCCACTGGGATTGTAGGCATATGCCACCATGCCTGGCTCTCATAGAATGAATTAGAAAGTTAAAGTTCTACCCCTTTCTATTTCATGGAATAATTTGAGGAACATTGGCATTAGTTCTTTAAAGTTCTGGTAGAATTCAGCTAAGAATCCCTCTGATCCTTGGCTTTTCTTTGTTGGAAGGCTTTTTATTACTGCTTCTCTTTCATTGCTAGTTACTGATCTATTTAGATTTTTCTATGTTCTCTTGATTCAATTTTGAGAGGTCATATGTAACTAGAAGTATATCCTTTTCTTATACGTTTTCCAACTATAAGTATTCAAAATATACCTAATGATCTGCTGGATTTCTGTGATGTCTGTGGTGATTTCTCCCTTTTCATCTCTAATTTCATTAATTTGGATTTCTTTTCTTTCTTTGTTTTGGTTAGTTTGGCTAAGTGTTTATCAATCTTACCTTTTCAAAGATTCAACTCTTGGGCTAGGGTTGTGGCTCAGTGGTAGAGTGGCTGCCTAGGATGGCTGAGGCCCTGGGTTCTATCCTTAGCACCACAAAAAAACAAATCAACATCAAATAAATAAAGGTTAAATTCTTTTTTTCTTTTACTTTTTTTTTAAAGAGAGAGAAGGGGGGCAATTTTAATATTTTTATTTTTTAGTTTTCGGTGGACACAACATCTTTTGTTTTTGTATGTGGTGCTGAGGATGGACCCAGGCGGCACATATGCCAGGCAAGCCCGCTACCGCCTGAACTCCATCCCCAGCCCAAGGTTAAATTCTTAAAAAAAAAAAGATTCACTTTTTGTTTCATTGATCAATTTTATTTTTTATTCTGTATTTCACTGATTTTTTAAAAAGTTATTTTTAGTTGTACATAGACACAATATCTTTATTTTGTTTATTTATTTTTATGTGGTGCTGAGGATCAAACCCAGTACCTCACATGTACAAGGCAAGTACTCTGCCACTGAGTCACAACCCCAGCTGTATTCCATTGATTGTAACCCTGCTCTTAAGTGTTTCCTTCCTTCTATTAGTTTTGGAATTTTTTTTTTTTTTTTTGGTACTGAACTTTTTTTTTTTTTTAGAGAGAGAGTGAGAGAGGAGAGAGAGAGAGAGAGAGAGAGAGAGAGAGAGAGAGAATGAGAATGAGAATTTTTTAATATTTATTTTTTAGTTCTCGGCGGACACAACATCTTTGTTGGTATGTGGTGCTGAGGATTGAACCGGGGCCGCACGCATGCCAGGCGAGCGCGCTACCGCTTGAGCCACATCCCCAGCCCCGGTACTGAACTTTTGAACTTTGAAGTTTGGGCACTTTACCACTGAGCTATATCCCCAACCTTTTTTATAATTTTATATTTCTGCTGAGATTCTGGATCTCAGGAGCCTCCTGAGAATTCTAAGGGTGGGGAAACCAACCCTTCACAGGTCTCAGACACTGTGCTGCTGCCATCTAATATGGCCTTCCCAGGCTCAGTCCACCTCTTCAGTTTCCTGATCCTCTTCAGCTGGTCATGTAAGTTGCTGGTCATGTGAGCTGCCAGACTCAAAAGGAAAGTAGGTGCATTCCCCTCTGTACCTCTGACTTGAATCTTCCTGGATATAATCTTTTCTGCCTATTTCAGTCATGTTCTGCCAGGGATACCCTAGGCCACATAGTAGGCCCATGCCAGGATAATATGGCAATATTTGCTATGATCTCCTGGGTTACTGTAGGAGCAAGCTGCAGCATAGCATGGTCTCCTCAAGATGGCTCCCTGCTTCAGCCCTCTGCTTACCCATTGAGAAAACACAGCACCTTTCAAACACCAGTTCACCTTGCAGCCTCTGGATCAGCTAAGTTCAGACTGCTTTTCTGTTCTAAAGGTTTTTCCATGTCAGATTTGTCTATTGTGTTTTCTGTCTGTGCTGTCCCTCCCTCTGTGGTAAAGCAGTTCTGCTTCTGCTGCTGCAACCAGCATGGCAGCAATCTACTCTTACTTGTTATTTGTTAAGTGCACCCAAATTTCTGAGGAGTCTCTGATATTCAATTTCTGTAAATTCTTTTTTGCACCCACCTCACTGAGAAGAGTACTCCTGCTGCTTGAATCCCGAGCCACAGAGCAACTGGAAATGCAGCCTTCCTCTAGTCTGCCATCTCGAATACTCTACTAATCAGTCTCTTAAAATGTGGTTACTGAGGGACTAAATTTTTAATTTAAATTAATACTCAAGTCAGTTATTAGCAAATTTTTAAATATGTTTGGAATAACTTGGGCCTGTGAATTTCTTTTTACAACTGCAGATTTCATAAAATCAAAATATAATTCAAGGGGGTGGGGATGTGGCTCAAGCGGTAGCGCGCTCGCCTGGCATGTGTGCAGCCCGGGTTTGATCCTCAGCACCACATACAAACCAAGATGTTGTGTCCGCCGAAAATTAAAAAATAAATATTAAAAAAACTCTCTCTCTCTCTCTCTCTCTCTCTTAAAAAAAAATGTAGTTCAAATACTTCTGATAGAAACTTGTATCCAAGTTGAGATGTGTTGTAAATATATAGTACCCAGAAGATCTCACTTAGTGTGAGAAAAGAATGTAAAAATGTCTCAATTCTTAAATATTGATTACATATCCAAATTAGCACATTTAAGATCCTTCCATTTCTTCTCCAAACTCCTAATATTTATTAGTTGTCTGATTTTACATTTAACAAAGTTTTAATACAGTCTTTTTTTAAAAAAAATTTTTAATAGTTGTAGATGGACAGCATACCTTATTGTATTTTTTTTTTTTTAAGGTGGTGCTAAGTATCAAACCCAGTGCCTCACACATGCTGGGCAAGTGCTCTGCCATTGAACTACAGCCCCAGCCCAGTAATACAGTCTTTGTAACCATAATTCCTATGATTAATCTTTTCCTTTATATTTAAATTGTCCAATTTTTCACTTAGTGCTTTTTTTTCTTCCTCCTTTCTCTTTCTTTTCTTTCTTTCTTTCTTTTTTTTATTCGTAGTGCTGGGAATCAAACCCAGGCTCTTAAGCATGCTAGGTAAGCAGTCTACCAGTAAGCTATACCCTAGCTCCATTGCTATTTTTAAATGATATTTTCCCATTGTAGAATTCTTAATTTTAATTATCTCTTGTTTGGTTAGATTTTATCATTTAGTAGTGTTTTTTATTTTAGTTTTTTAAATCATAAAAATATATACATGAGCATCCAGGTACAGTGTCATGTGTCTGTAATTTTAGATACTTGGAAGGCTTAGGCAGGCAATTGGAAGTTTGAGGCCAGCCTGGGCAACTTAGGGAAATCGTCTCAAAATTAAAAAACAACAACAACAACAACAAAAACAAATAAATGAAAAAGGATGGGATGTAGCTCACTGTAAACTATCTCTGGGTTCAGTCCCCAGTACCAAAAAAATAAAAAAGGGCTAGGGATGTAGCTCAGTGTTAGTGTTCCTGGGTTCAATCCCCAACGCCGCATCAAAACAAAACAAAACAAAACAAAACACCATGAGCACCTTTATAAATATATTTTTGGGCACATTATATTTTAGGATATATATTCCTAAAAGTAGAATGATTGAGTTAAAGGTATACACGTTTTTAAGACTTTTGATTCTTATTACCAGAAAGATTATAGGACTTCAAGTTTTCACTGGGAGTGTATGAAAGTTCCTGTATTGTTTCCCCCTATACCTTCCTCAAAGATGCACAGTTTTTAATCTTTGCAAATTTATTAGTTTAAATATATATTACTATCTAATTTTAGAACTTTCTTGACATCCTAAAAAGAAACCCTATATATATACTAGCAGTCCTTTCCCTTTCCTGCCCATTCCTAGCCAGCTTTAGGCAACTACTAATCTACTTCATGGAGTTGCCTGTTCTAGATATTACACATAAATGGAATCATACACCATCTATTGTGTCTAGCTTCTTTTACTTAGTTTTCAGGGTTCATTTATGTTGTAGTATATATCGGTACTATGTTCTTTTTTATTGCTGAATAGTATTCCATTGTCAATTATACCACAGTTTGTTTATTCATTTATCCGTTGATACACACTTACGTTGCTTCTGCTTTTTAACTTTTGAGAACAATGCTGCTATGTACATTCATAATAATATAATAATATTTTGTTTATGGAGATAGGTTTTCAGTTCTCTTGGATGTACATCTAGGACTGAAATTTCTGGTTTAAAATCCAATGAATTGCCAAACTGTTAATAATTTGCATGGATTTCCCTATCAAAACACCATAGACTGGTTGGCTTAAAGCCAGATATTTGTTTCTCACAGCTCTGAAGTCTGGAAGTCCAAGACCAAACATGCCAGCTGATTCATTTCTTTGTAAGGAACGACTTACAGTCAGCTTACAGGTAGCTGCCTTCTTGCTGTGACTTCACTCAGCTTTTACTTGGTACTCAGTCTTCTTTGAGAGAAGATTTGTCTTCCTCTTCTTGAAAACTGCTTTGCCTGTGGATTAAGACCCCAAATTTATGATCCCATTAAACTTTACTTCCTAAAAGCTCTATCTCCATTACAGAGTGAGGGTAGGGCATACCCGTATGAAATTGGGAGAGACACAATTCAGTCCATAGTAATGGGAGCTCCAATTTTGTTATATCTTGCCAACACTTGTTATTGTTTCTCATTTATTTTTTTCTTTTTGGAACTAGGATTGAACTCAGGAGTGCCACATCCCCAGCCTTTTTATTTTGAGAAAATATCTCACTAAAGTTGTATAGGGCCTCATTAAGTTGCTGAGGAGACTGGCCTTGAACTTGTAATCCTTCTGCCTCAGCCTCCTGAGTCACTGGATTACAGGTGTGTGCCACCATGCCTGACTTATTTGTCTTTTTGATTATAGCTGTTTAGAGATGTGAAGTGTATCTCCTTGTGGTTTTGATTTATATTTCCCTAACTGATTGATGTTGAGCATCTTTTCATGTGCTTAGTGATCATTGTTTATCTTTTTTAGAGAAATGTCTATTCAAATTTTTGTCCATTTTAAAATTAGGGTATATGTTTTTATTGAGTTGTTAAAATTTTTTATACATTCTAGATGCAAACTCCTTGTTTAATTTGCTGGTATTTTCCCCATTAATTGAGTTGTATTTTCATTTTATTAATGTTGTCCTTTGATGCCAGAGTTTTAATTTTGATGAAGTTCAATTTATATTATCAGTATTTATTATTATTCTTATTGTTAGGTGGTACTGGAGTTTGAAACTAGGGTCATTCTACCATTGAGCTATATTCCAGCCCTTTATTTGTTTGTTTATTTAAATTTTGAGATAAGGCGTAAGTTGCCCAGACTGACTTTGTACTTGTGATCCTCCTGCCTCAACCTCTTGATTGAGTTATCTTTTTGTTGCTTGTGCTTTTGGTGTCATAGCTAAGATAACTTTTGACAAATCCAAGCCATAAAAATTTGCTCCTGTTTTCTTTTAAGAGTTCTATAGTTTTAGCTGTTACATTTAGGTCTTTGTTCCTTCTGAGCTTTATTTTTTTTTATGAGGTATGAAGTAAGGCTCCAACATTCTGGATGTCTTTTATTTGATTTTTTCTTGCCTAATTACCATTGATAGAACTTCCAGTTGGATAGAAGTGGTAAGAACAGAAATCCTTGTTTTGTTTCTGACCTTATAAGATCTTATAGGTCTTTTTACCATTAAATATGAACAGGATATTAGCTACAAAATCAAATGGTCAGGGCTAGGATTGTGGCTCAATGGTAGAACTCTCGCCTAGCACTGGCGGGACTCGGGTTCGATCCTCAGCACCACATAAAAATAAAGGCATTGTTTAAAAAAAAATCAAATGGTCAATGGTTACCAGATGGTTACCAATAGTTTACTATGTTCTTAGAATAGTAATATTACCTCTGGATTAAAAACTTTTTTTCCTTTTCTTTTTTTTATCATGCTGGGTATTGAACCCAGGGACTTGTATATGCTAGGCAAGTCTTTTTTAGATGTTGATGGACCTTTAGTTTATTCAATTATTTATATGTGGTGCTGATAATTGAACCCAGTGCCTCACACATGCTAGGCAAGCACTCTACTACTGAGTCATAACCCCAGCCCCTGCTAGGCAAGTCTTTATCACTGAACCACATTCCCAGTCCTGCCTGTGGATTGTTGGTAGATGCCTTTTTTGAGAGAGAGGGAGAGAGAGAGAGAGAGAGAGAGAGAGAGAGAGAGAGAGAGAGAATTTTAATATTTATTTTTCAGTTTTCAGCGGACGCAACATCTTTGTTTGTATGTGGTGTTGAGGATCGAACCCGGGCCGCACGCATGCTGAGCCACATCCCCAGCCCGTAGATGCCTTTTATTAGTTTGAAGAAAGTTACCTTCCTGTTTTTTGTTTTTATTTTAGTTTTGTAATGCAAATTGTCTTTTTTTTTAAACTTTAAGTGCTTTTTCTATGTCTGTTGAGATGATTGGGTGGTCTTTGTCCTCTGTTCTATTGATATAGGGTATTACATTAATTGATTTATAGGTGTTAAATGAACCTTGCATTCTTGAGATAAATTCCACTTAGTGTGATGTTTCATCCTTTTTATGTGTTGATGCTTTCAATTCATTAGTATTTTGTTTAGGATTTTTTTTCTCTATATTCATCAGATAGTGGTCTGTGGTTTTCTTGTGATGGCCATCTACTCTACTTACTGTGTGGGAGGCTGTGTGCTAGATTGGGGTTTGCATACAGAGGTGTATGGTAGAGTAATAGGTGAATTGACAAAACAGCTTTCCCTCTATGGAATATTTGCAGTGGGGAATTCTGATCTTCTTTTCTAGAACCATGAAAACAGATATGGTTATACTTTCTGTGCATCACTTTATCCTTATCTTGATTAGCTCCTTCTCTGAAACACCTAATTATGCTATTACCTTAGTGTCTTTGTTCTTGCTATTCCACCTGCCTAGAATGTTCCTTTCTCAAGATTACCTAAATAACTTACTCCCCACTCCATTACATCCCTGCTTAAATGTCACTATCAATAAGATCTCCCCTGACCATTGTCTGTAAAATAGCAGTTCTCACCTTCAGTCTTTATCCTTTTCCTCATATATATTCTTCTTCATAGCATTATTATTTACATTTCAATTTATTCTTGTCTCCATCATCACCTTCTTCCTTTCTTCCTGCCAAATGTAAATGTCAGATGAGAAGAATCTGTAATTGATGTGTTCATTCTTCTATTCCCTGAACCTTGAATAGTTATTATCACATATTGCATACTTGATCAATATTTTTAAATAATTAATACCTCTTTGATTGTTTGAATATTTTTCTTCTTCCCATGTTTTCCTGCAAAGGATTTACTGATGATTTTATTTACATTGACCATTTTTGGTTTATTATTTTCTTAGAATAAGCAAAGTTCTTTCAAATAGTGTAATAGTTGAAAGAGACACTTACCATGCTATTACTTATTAAATTTTGTTTTTTACCTCTTAGTTTTCAGATAGGACCAATCCAGTTGATAAACATTTTGAAGTCTTGGTCAATAAGTATGGAATTTCTGCCCACCCAATTGTTCCTCAGCTGTTTGGTTCTGCTGGAAAAGAACACATGGAAAAATATGGTATGTTAAAAAACAAAACAACACTTTAAGGTGACAGGTACAGTGATGCATCCTGTAATCCCAGCTACCTAGGAGACATGGATGCAGGAGAATCATAAGTTTGAGGCCAGCCTGGGCAACTTAATGTTTAGCAGCAAAGCCCTAGGTTCAATCCTCAGCACCAAAAAAACAACAAAACCTTAAGACTCATTAATAGTTATATATTTATTAAGGAACTGTGGAGGATATCATGATCTATAAGATACAAACTAGTTTTTGAACTAGGTTGGTGAAGTAGTCCCTGTACAGAAAGTATGGGAAGTACACCTAGAATACTACATAATAGGAAATTGAAATAGGAAAAAGCACAATTTTTTGTCTCCTTTAATCATGGATGATGAATTGAGGATTACCAGTTCTGAATATGATAGTAAAACTTAAAACTTGTTCTTGATAATAGATTTATATAGCCAAATTGTATTCTTTTTAAAAATTTTTTAGTTGCAGTTGGACACAATATCTTTATTTTTTATTTTTATGTGGTGCTGAGGATTGAACCCAGGGCCCTGCACATGCTAGGCGAGTGCTCTACCGCTGAGCCACAACCCCAGCCCCCCAAATTATATTCTTATTATTTGAATTTATCAGGAGTTTGTCATGACCCCACATTCCATGGCATTTTTATGAGGTTAAAATTTCTTAGTCGATTTGGATTTTGTAGCTAATATTCTGTTCTTTGACGGATGGTCAATGGTTACCAGATGGGTAAAGCATGGGTTAGAGAAAATAGGGTGATTTTTTTTCTATTGTATGACTGAACCACTGCTTTAATTGAATATTATGAGATAAGAAAGAAGATGACCATGTTTGACAGGTCAGCACTCCTATTCTTTGCAGGAAAAATATCCTAGGCTCAATAGGCAGCATCAAGTAGTCAGAAAGGAAACAAGTCTTTCAGCAAGAATGGAAGTAAGTGGCACTTCCATTTACTAAAATTTTCAAAGCAGAAACATGAATCAACTTTGATAATTTTTCTTCCCTTTCTTCCATTCCAGTTTCTTACTATGTCCTAGAAATTCTACCTCTGAACCATCAAACTATCTTCTTTCATCCAGTTCTTTCATTACCATAGCTCTTTTCTTAGGTCAGACTTTTTTTTTTTTTTTGGGGGGGTAGGGGTGCTGTCCCACTGAACTATATCCCCAGTCCTATTTATTTATTTAGAGACAGGGTCTTACCAAGTTCCCAAGCTGGCCTCGAAGTTATAATCTTCCAGCCTCAGCTTCCCAAGTCACTGGGAATTATAGGCAGGTCCCTCTGCCCCTGGGTAGATTAGAATTTTTCAAACATTGATTGTAACTCACTAGGAAATTATGGAATTGAATCAAGTTTAGTGGGTCAAGCCAACCATTTCTTTTAATCTGAACTTTGTATTGTTGTCTATTATAACTCAAAACAGAGAAGTAAACAAAACACTGTACACAGCAAGCAAGAATGTGAATTCTCATAAAGGTGATAGCTTGTGACCTATATCACCACCTAGGTTAAAAAAAATAATGTTGTCAGCATCCAAAATTCCTCTGTGTACATTATTTTTGTCTTATGAACTTTGTGGGTTTCCTGATTATCTTGAGTCATTGCTTTAGCCACCCCCACAAATCTTATTGTAATGTGTTCTTTTCTACCATGAGACTCTTCTGAAATGGTTGAGGGTCAAAAATCTTAAGCTTCCTAGAGGCCCTTTATTTGAGAGAATTTGTAAAATAGAGCTGTCTGAACTATGTAGTGAGTATTCCATTTGATCTTTCTGAGATCTTTTTTAAAAATATTTAATCTTTAGGTGTAGATGGACACAGTAAAATGCCCCTATTTTTATGTAGTGCCAAGGATCAAAGCCGGGTCCCGCCCGTGCTAGACGAGCGCTCTACCGCTGAGCCACAATCCCAGCCCCCTTTCTGAGATCTTAACTGAAGACTTGACATAGCCTGGGCTTTATCTCTGACAGTGTTTTAATGGCAGTGTCATGAATTTGATCTTTGCTGAAAATCTATTTCTTAATTTTAGCATCTTTTACCACTAAAGAATCTGAGAATTTTCAAAACTATCACGTTTTAGGTTCTTTTTGTTTAACAATTGTTTCCTCAATATAAAGATACAGAATTTTACTATAAGCTGCAATAAGAAATCAGGTAGCAACTTCAACATTTTGTATGTTTTCTAATTTTGCACATAATTTCAGGCAATAGTATTATAAAAATTCCTGTGTTGTTATAAGAAGAATCTCCCTTCATCTAGTTCCCAGTCAGATTTTCTTTATCTTCTTATAAGCCCTCACCTGCAGCATCTTCAAAGGACTTCAAAGATACCACTAATATTCTCTTCTAGGCACTTCAGGCTTTCACTAGCAGTTTCCTCAAAGTCTACTTTCTGGTTCTAAAGCCATTCAGATATTTTACATTTTTGTTCAGTGAGACTGAAAAATCAAGGATTGATTGTTCCTTGATCAAGGAACTGGCAGATTCATTGTTTGGTGAAGGCCCACTTTCTGATTCATGGAAGGCATCTTCTCATTATGTCCTCATACAAGAAAAGGGAAAGAGAGCTCTGGGACCTCTTTTATGAGGCCACTAATCCCATTCATGAGGGCTCTGTCCTCATGATTTGATTACCTCTCAAAGGTCCTACTTCTATTACTATCACCTTGGGGATTAGGTTTCAACATATGAAGTTTGTGGAGATATAAACATTCAGTCCATTGTGCCCCTCAAAGGCCCATCTCCTAATAACAATTAGGAACAGGGTTTGAATTCAGGGGAATGAAGTGCAGTGGCACATGCTTGTAATCCAAGTTTCTCAGGAGGCTGAGGCTGAAGGGTTGTAAGTTCAAAGCCAGCCTTAGCAATTTAGCAAGGCCCTAAGCACCTTATGGAGCCCCTGTCTCAAAATAAAAAATAAAAAGGCTAGGGATGTAGCTCAGTGATTAAGTCCCTTTGGTTCAATTCCCAGTACCAAAAACTAAAACAAAACAAAACAAAACAAAACAACAACAATAACAACAACAAAAAAAAAAAAAAAAGAAAGAAAGAAAGAAAATAGGGGCTAGGAATGAAACTCAATGGTAGAGCTTCACATGAGGTTCTTCTAGCATGCATGTGACCCTGGTCCCTAGCACGACAAAAACAAACAAAAACAAGAAAGGAAATAAATGAACTAATTTAGAGAGAACTGTTGTATTTATGATGTTGTTATCCTAGAAAATTAAAGTTTTCCTTATATATAAACGTTTTATTTCATTTTATTTATTTTTAAATAACTTCCTTAATTGTTTTAGTTGTCTTTGAGGCAAATGGATGTTTCTTTGTTGTTATGTCCTCTGAATTAGTTATTAGCTGTATGTATGCATATATATGTATATAGATTTCTATTAATTAAAAAAATATTTTTAGTTGTAGATGGATGCAGTACCTTTATTTTGTTAATTTATTTGTGGTGCTAAGGATGGAACCCAGTGCCTTACATGTACTAGGCAAGCCCTCTACCACTCAGCCACAACCCCAGCCCTCTGTGTATTAATTTTATGACTTGCTATATTATTAAATTTTCTAATTTTGCGGTTAGTTTTGTTATTGATTTTATTTAAAGGTGTTTTTCAGATAAGCAACTATATTATATCACCTGCAAAAAGAGTGAGTTTTACTGCATCTTTACTAAGTGTAATGTTTTTAATTGATTTCTTTTTTATAATTGCTTTAGCAAATACCATAAGTACATGTTAAATAGTAATGAAGATAATAGACATCCTTGTCCTATTCCTGATTTCATTGTTTTCCCGTTAAGTAAGATCCTGGCTTCAAGACAATGATATATACAGTTTGAGCCATCTCTAATCCAAAAATCCAAAATCTGAAATACTCTGAAATCTGAAATGCAGAATTAGATTCTGTTGCTGTTATTTTCTGTAGTAATTTCAATTTTCAATTTAATATTTATAACTGATGTTGATTTATAATTTTTTGTTAGGTTTTTATCAAGTTTTATACTTCATAAAAAGAAATACGAAGTTTCTTTTTTTCTTTTTTTTTACTCTTAATGCTATAAAATAGTTCATGGAGCATTGGGACCATGTGATCTTTGTAAGTTTGGTAGAATTTCATGTGAAACTATGTGGGCCTGTTTTTGTTTTTGTTTTTTCCCCCTGGAGGGTAGTTGCTTGGTAATTTCCTCTATTTCTTTTATGTTTAAATATTCTGTAACTATTGTTGGCAGTCCAGAAATTACCCAGTTTAGATTTTCAAATCAACTTATATGGAAGTCTGAAAAGTAATCTTTTATAGTTAAAAATTTTATTTCTATTTCAAGTAGGAAAAGTTTCTCAGCCTGTTCTTATTTTTACTGCTGGAGAGCAACAGTAGGCTGCCACCAGCTCACCTCTTTGCTCTCTGCAGGTTTTCTTCTGGCTGCTTTTGTTCCCTCAAAGAATGAGCAGTTGTTGGCTGGGATTTGGTCTTTTCCCTTTTCTTTTTTTCTAACTTACAGATAATTTAAAGTTTTGGCATCTTCTGTTTTCTGGTTATGCTTATTGAATGGTTTTGGGCTATCATATTTTTTCTTGTGAGTCTATATTGTTTTGGATATACACACATACACACACACATATTTGTGTTTATATATGTTTTCTTTGTTCAGCTTTGTTTGGAAGGATTGCCCAAGGACATGGAAGCTACTGAAATATTTGAATATATATTTCAATAACTTAGACTTAAAAAGAGGGAGCACTTCCAAAGAAACTATAGAATTCAATAACACAATCAATAACTTAGACTTAACTGACATACATAGAATATTTCACCCTTCAATGAGCGTATACACTTTCTTCTCAGCAGCACGTGGATCCTTCTCTAAAATAGACCATATACTGTGCCACAAAGAAACTCTTAGCAAATATAAAAAAAATAGATACTACCTTGTATTCTATCAGATAATAATAAAATGAAATTAGAAATCAATGATAAAATAAGAAA